GGTTTTGTCCCTTTCTTATGATACTCTGGCGTTGAAACTGTAAGATAAAATACAACAAATATTTAAAGACAGAAAAAAAATGAATAAAAATAGGTGCCAGATGGAGGGAGCTGAAGCCATTGTCGGCCTGACCAAGCCTCCCTGTTGGATACACTTGTTGAACACAAATTGTTTGAGTAAATTTGTAAACAATTCCAAAACTATAAAAGTTCTAAAAATGTTCTTGGCCTAACCTCCAGACCCTGCTGGAAATTGTCTGACAACATCGGAACACTCAGCACCCCACAAAGAGGTCAAAGTACATTTAGCACCTCAAGAAATTGTTTGTGTTGAAAACAGCTCTTTGATCTGCTTCCACTGGCAAACCATCCTATATAATATCTGTCTCTTATACACATCTAGATGTGTATAAGAGACAGATATAAAACAATAAATTCCAAAATATTGAATATTGTACTGTATCCTATAGTATTTCTATTCCATTGTTCGTATATAGGTCAACGCTAATTACAATGTTCGTTGATTGTCAATAACCATCAATGTGCCCTTGAAATCTTTGGTGCTGTGTATGACCCAATTATCTGTCTGCTGCAGTCGACTTAGTTGAAGTATAAAAGACGCAGCAGTTCGGTCTACCCGTTCTATCTATACACTTTTGAAATAAGAACTAGTACAATTTTGTCCAGGTTCAGTGTTTTTATTTTTTGGCCGATTTCAGGCTCAAACTGTTCTTATTTTGCTCTTATTTTTACACACTTTTCAAACATGGAAAATTATTATTTTACAATCAGTGTATTACTTTGCTGTATTATAGAGGGTATTACATAGTCACACCTACTGCAAATTACAATTTATATTTGCCTACAGAAACTAAAATGTAGGCCTAAAAGTTTCATGGCTAGAATAACACCAAAGAAATGTAAGTTATATATTAAATATTACCGTATATATATAATTTAATATATATCATATATATGCCTACTTTATTATAGAATATGTTATTCTCAAATTCGCAAATAAGAACAAAGACCAAATAATATACAGTAAATCAAATACAGAATATAGACCTATACAATTGAGTTAAATCAAATAAATTTCAATTAGATTCATACAATTTCTTTCTGAAAATATTTTACTAATAGGTATGTTTATACTTATTAATTCCTCTGTGATATAGGCCTATATATATATATATATATATATATATGTATATATATTTCACACATCAAGTCATTTGTCAATTATTAGTATAACTTAAACTACATTTATATAACCTATATATAGCCTATATGTATCTTTTGGAATACCTTTTCAAATTTTTAACCATTATATTTTTAACAAGTCTTGATTTTAAAAATATTTTATCCTTTTATTGTAGTCTCTGTTAACGTTTATCCAGTTTTTACCTTATCCAGCAACCGGTTTTGTTTTATACCATTTTGTGTTGTATGGAACACAATAAAAATTTGAACTTGAACTTCAACGTACGTCATTAAGAGCATCTTGAGTATATCGCAGATTATAAACGAATAACTTTCTTCATTGCCTGATAAATAGATCAGTCTTTGTGGTTTGAGAAAGAAATAGATATATTTGACATGTGACATAATCTATTAGCGTTGTAATATCTAAAACAATACACCCAAAACAAATGAATCCGCCACTATCCATATTCTTATTCCATTATGTCCGGTTCTGGATTAGTAGAAGTTGAAAATTTCATGTAATTATCCAGTTTGGTTCTCTCATTAGCGAGTTAAAATTTATTAAGCAATCTATCATGATCAGAAGCGAATCTTATGATGGTTTTTTTTCCGGTTGTTATATTTATTTTGCGTTTCTTTGGATTATGTTGTACCGGGTCATTACGTACATAATGATTTTGCCATCGATCGTTGAAGCGACGGTGCGCAGCGCCACCTATTAGTGTACGTAAGCGTCACTCTAAGTGACGCTTACGTGGTGCTGTATGTACATCAAAATCTAGTTGTTGAAAAAAGTAACCTTTTTAAATTGTTAACAATTTTATTGTTAACATAAACTTAAAAAGTATAGTCAAGACGATCAGAAGTTACAGCTAAAATATACTGCTTACTTTGTTACATTTAAGTTATTTATTACATTTCAGTTGAAAATTCAATTAAGAAGTTATCAAATGCATAAATAATACTTGACATGCATAAATATGGTCATAATGACATCACATCATGACCATATATAGGCACATCATGACTATATATGGGCATACAACAGCTTTTTGTCAAATTAAATGTAACAGTCTGGGCAAAGCTTAAGCGTTGGTATGTTTAATTGAATGCTTGAAGAAGACTTTCCTAAAGTTATAACACAGACAGAATAGACAAATCGTATGAGTGCGTTTTATATCTGTTTGTGTTTTCCAGGTATTAGCAAGATATAATTGCATAAATATAAGCTAACCAAGTCGTGTTTACGTCGTAAGAGAGTAACTAAACGGTAAAATAGATACAAATGGTGGCTACATATTTCAACGGATCATGCACGTGTAAACAAAGGCCCCTTCAGCAAATTTTACACTTTATACTAATGATAATAATAATGATAATAATAATAATAATAATAATAATTATTATTATTATTATTATAATAATACTAATAGGCCTATACAGGTTTTTGATATAACGCCCTATAATCATTTCTCAGAGCTCCATTACAAACAAAATGTAACAAATAGGCCTAATAAAAGACAAAGTGAAATGATGCTTTTTTTATGCGGTCCTTAAACATAGTCCAGGACATTGCTGGCCTTCTAAATAAATATCGGGAGTTGGTTCATAATAATGCTGCACTGGCAGAAGATCGAAAGCCATTATAGCCATCACAACCAGAACCATACTTTGTTCTGGATGTTACAGGTGTAAGAAGCATGCGAGAATAGGATCTAAGTGAACGACCAGGTTTACAAGAAACAACAAGTTATGTATGCCATAGAGTACTGTATGATAAAAAAAAAAGCTATACCTGCCCACACTGTGCACCTTACGCATTTATATCTAGGGATACTACGTTGATGACTTTATAATAGCATAAAGTGTTTGCCAGAGAGAGCAAGGTTGCCATTAAATAATTATCAGCATGATGAATGATTATTTTTCGAGGATTGACAAATGAAAATAGTATTAATCATGAATATAATCACACAGAGATAAAATAAATACATATATCATTGCTTCAAATTGGTTCGCTTTGCAATTTCATCTCAGCATTGCTTAGCGACCTAAAAAAGAACAATCGTTCACTCACTGTTGACTAGTTGGACAGCTTTCATACAAATAATAGACTGATAATTAACTCATCCTCAACTTATGTGATTAACCTGCGCTGACTATGTTAATTCGTGTACTCAAGAAAAGGCATTTAACCTAGCTAATGCATACTCTATTCACAATTGATTGTTGAATATTCATCTAATAGTTTGCACGTCCAAACGCGTAATTACTGGCAAACACATGATTATGGAATTTCGACAATTGTCTTTAACCTCAATGCTTTCTGTAAACATCGCTTTAAACTTAATAATCTTTAATCATAGAGAAAGTTCAATGTAAACCAAACACATCTAAGTTAGAATCATTCATAGAAAGTAATTTTGTCACGTTGATGAAATACACCAGTATGTGTCATTATTTTCGCTGCTAAACCAACTGTAGAGATAAAAATCTCTTTTATAGACACAGAAACTATACATTTATTTACCTATTGATGAAGAACATAATGTGCCGTGTCTGAAGTGTCCACCTAATAACTCTGCTACATCATGTCCAATCTAACTGGGTTTTCTAGCTGTGCATACACTCGCATAATAGTTAGGCGGGAAAAAGGACAACGTATCCGTACCGGTACATGTCTGCCGCGCGTTCCCAGGCCCCGCCAAATTTTCCAATTTCAAATAATTTGGACAAATATGAATAAATATATACTTTATATAT